GTTTTCTCCCTATCTTCCTAAATTTTATGAAGTGGAAGTCATCTTTATGTCCTCAAGATGAGAATATGGGAAATGCTTGAACTTTTCTGGTCACTCTCAGACATTAAAAACAGTGTTCTTATTGTTAGTGATGGAAACCTTCTTATTTTATTGGTTAGAAATGTGCATAAGCTAGGCATCTGCAAGAGGAACAGAACCATTAGGATATATAGAGAAAGAATTAGTGCAAAGACTGGCTTTTGCAGGTGAAGGTGTTGCTCTATATAAGACAGGGAAGATTGTCAGGAAGTACAGCCTTACAACTCTTGGGCAGGAGAGACTGTTCCATGCCTAGGTAGAATATCTTCCTTGGGGAAATCTATGCTGCTAAATCACATCAACTGATTAGATTAGTCCTGTCCATATTACATAGTGCAATCTCCTTTTACTAAAGTCAACTGATTGTACATGTTGATGAAGTCTATATATATCATCACAGAAACACCTATATTATATTTCAGCTTAGGAATATAGTGTAGCCAATTTGATACATAATTGTATCATGTAAAAGTTGAAATGCCAAACTTGGCTCAATCTTCTGTCCTTCCCTGGTTTGGCCATGCTTCAGGTGGTTGCCTATTGTAAGCATGATGAAGGTACGACACACTGACTTTATTCTCTCCCTATTCACCTCCTCCCACATTCCCTTCCTTTGTGGCTTTTATCCTCATCAGTTAAAATGCCTCATTTATGTAATGAATATTTTTCAGACTTGCTATAACTATTCTGAAATTAAGTTCATAAATGACTTAAGCTACTTGACATGGTTCATTTAACCTGCTATTGAAGTAATATTTTAGGCTGGATCAGTTACCAAAAACCAAAAACTTATTGCTCATAATTTTAGAAGGTGGGACTAAGTGATTAAGGTCCCTTCACATTGGATGTCTGGTGAGGACCCACCCTCTCTTCTCATGGTGTCCCCATATGGTGGAAGGTCTGGCTATCTCTCTGGAGCCTCTTTTTTTTTGCGGGGGGAGGGTACTGAGGATTGAAGTCAGGAACACTTGACCCCCAAGCCACATCCCCAACCCTATTTTTTTGTATTTTGTTTAGAGACAGGACCTCACTGAGTTGCTTAACACCTCCCTATTGCTGAGGCTTGCTTTGAACTTGCAATCCTCCTGCCTCAGCCCCCTGAGGCACTAGGATTACAGGCGTGCACCACTGAGCCTGACTTGGAGTCTCTTTTTAAGGACATTATCTCATTCATGAGGATTAAGCCCTTGAAACCTAATCACTTCTCAGAAGCCCACCTTCAATGTCTCATGTGACAATTAGATTTAAATAAATTAATTTTGTGGGGAGACAAATTTTTCAGAATACAGAACTACCTCAAAATAAATTTCAAAAAGTATTCTAATATAATGGGAAATTATAGAAAAGTGATTTATATTAAATAAATTTAGTAAAATATGTACATGATTGGACCCAATTTCACTAGACTTTATAATGAAGAAGTCATGGGATTAGAGGTCATGAAGAACCATGGTGAACCTTGAAGTCCCAAACACAAGACAACACAGGTGTGCTACATGGTTGAGACACTAAATATCATGTATGGCATTGAGGACGGAGGCTTGTCATAATCACCATTTCTTAATTATTACTTATGATTATTATATTGATGCCTCAATTAAAAATGATGCAGAATTACTATTGTTTATCCTTAAATGTTTTTTAATAGAGGGCTATTTCACTCTCAAAAATGTCATTCAAAGTCTAACAGAACAGCATGTTTAGAGAATCATATGGCTAAATAAGTATATGTTGGACTCAAACAAAGCCAAAGGAACACTGAGTGGAGAGTGGGAACCTAAGGCCAAGAGATGGTTGGAACTCACTATATAGAATCATCCAGCCATATTGAACAGTTCTGTTCCTCCAAGAAACTAGGAAAGACTTTGAGGTATTTCTAGTAGGGACATGTCATAGAGGGCTTGAATATGGATAGCAGAATCTGAGGAGTCTGCAGTTTGAACAGATGTGAACTTGTTAAAGAACTTGAAATATGACACTTTGAATTAGGATGGTGGAGATAGAAGTGAGGACAAAAAAAAAAAAAACAGACAGATACTAGTGATGCAGGATTAAATAAACAGGGCTTGTTGATAGAGTGGATTTGAGATGCCATTAGGTGAAACTAAATTATTCCTAGGTTTATTAAAAGGTGTTGCTTAATTTTAGGTGACCACTTGACTGGGTTAAAGAATAACCCAGAGAGCTGGGAGAGCATTATTTCTGGAGTCAGTCTGTGAGGGTATTTCCAGAAGAGACTTGAATTTTAATAAAGAAGATCTAACCTCACCGGATATAAGGTCAGTTAAGAGCCTAGATAGAAGTAAAAAATTAGGTCTCTTCATCTCTCTTCTCTCTTCTTTTTCTGTTTCTCTCTCCATCCTTTGCTTGCTC